CTGTGGTTGGTTGTCAGGTTCAGGCCATAACATCCTGTTGACTGAGATATGGCGGCTACTGTGTCTGACCCTAAAAGCACTGCCATTAGAGCAGTCCTCACTGGAAATAAGAGCTTTTAGCTGCTGCATTAGTTAAGAATAACATGGTACTAGATGAGAAGCGATTATTGATAATCCTCTTAAAAACATTCCAGCCATAACTAACATTTGAGAGCAGCTCTCATTTAACATAATGTCTTCAGCATTTAGAAGCTACTGTCACATCCTGGTGAGAAATGGAAACCAGGAGCGTAACTGGTAGTAAATATTTACTCCAGTCTGTCATCTACACTAGCAAACACCACATCTAAGCTTATACTTGGTCGGCTTGTTTGAGTGTCATTTAGTCCATGTGTTAACGTGGTCACAGACAGTCACAGAGTAACAAGGCGCCAGTGGGTCTTTCAATTACTTAATTCTGATCCACAGATTTACACGCCTGCACAAACACACTACATGCATACGTTTCGGCACCAAATCAATTGGCACGCAAAGCTACACTGCCTGACTGCTTGGCATAATATATACACACATGGGGACACACACATACCGACACAAATCCACAAATGCTTCAGCAGGGATCCACAGGAAACACATGTGCCAGGGCCTGTTTGAGAACCACTGTGCCAGAAATCATTTTACTAGTGGTCCATCATCCACAACACGTGTGTGTATGTGATCTCCCCGTGAGGGTCTCATCATGTCCTCCAGGCCCTTTACACCTCCCGACCTGACAACGATGAACACAGAGGCATCCATCTTTCTCCCACCATGACACCGCTGGGATTTACCTCCACAGCTCTTTCAATTATTCAGCAGCAGAGCAATTATGGCCTGGAATCAGAGCCGTCGATAGCGAGCATAATGCATGGCAGCTGGGCTGGAAATGACGAAACTGGCATTGTGACACTTCAAATTATCACCTTGCACTCTGTGATTACCGGCACTGTGCTATGAACAGGTATTTTTGTGAGAGCCATGTAGAGGGAAAGAGAGAGAAGACGAAGAATAGTGTAAAGCTAGTAGGAGCCTGTCAGCACGGTGATGGATGGGAAGTGTACTGCTCAACCTGTAAGGCCTAAGAGGAGGCTACTGAATATGAGATAAGCACTTGTAGAGTCCTTTTTTGAGGTCTAAGTAAATCTTGGACCAGTTGTCTATATGGTAGGCTAAGGTATCGCCTGCTGGCTCTCGCTTCAAATTCATCATAGAAGTGCATTTCCCAAAATGGCAAACAGTTACATTTGAGTTTTTTGGAAAGCTTTTGGAGGGTCACTCTCCATGCCTCTATCAGTGCGATGCTGATATCACAAATAGTCAAGATAGACAAAAATATGAAAAAGCGATAACAAATACTGGAATATCCCTTTGTAATACTTTCTCATACTACGGATATGAGTTTGATTAGACTCTGTGGTTATTTTTTAGTTGTTCTTATGCATTTACTAACAGGAGTGAATGCAGCAACATAGCATTAGTCATTCAGGAACCACATCCTTTATGATTCAAAGCCTCTCGAATTGCCTAAATTCAGTTTATACATCAGAATAAATCTGAAAGAATAAACAAAATGATAACTGGTAATGACACTGTGGTCTTTAACTGACCATAAATTTCCTTTTTATAAACTTTTAATGGTCAATAAAAATGATTATAATGTAATTCAATGCAGAATCATAACAGCTGACTCAGATGCCATCTGGGAGCCTGATTTCAGAGAGCATTACAATCAACCAGACTGTGTCCCCTGAGAATGTATGGCTCATTTTTATATTATTCAAGTGTAGAAATAACAGGGAATTGAGGAATCCCGTGGGGGAAAAAACCTACTTACTCAAAAGAATTCAAATAATTTGCAATGTCAGTGTCTGTAATGATGAGAATTGACAAAGCTTTTCGACTGGCAAGAGATTTATTTAACATCAGCGCTTATGCAGAGGCTGGGGCAAACAGACCTGGCTCCCATAGAAAACCACCCCCTCAGAGAAAGAGGGAGACAGAGAGGGGGGTGGTTCTTGCACATAAACCCCCATTTTCAGACTCAGAGAGACAGAGATAACCACAGTCCTTCGGGATCTGCACAGGACAGACAAGATCTATCCCCAAAAAATATCCTTTCATTCCCTGAGAGAAGGATGGGGAGGAGGGAGGAGGGCAGTGGTGGAGAAACAAGGGATAAGCACCGCTGTGGGAGAACAAAAAGCCGCTTGATTCTGAGGGAAGGAGTGAGAAGGAGGAGGATAGGAGATGTGGGACCAGAATGGCTAAGCAAACGGCCTATGCTGCGAGGATGAAGAGCCTTCCTCTGCTGCTCTGCAGAGATAGAGCAGACCTGTCTGCTCAGTGCAGACGCAGACAAAAAAAGGGATATGAGGACTGTGTCTTCTGGTTCTTGACATACCCCCAGACTGTCTGCATGGGAAGCGAGTTTTTTACCTCTGGTTGCCATAGCAAAACCGCAGTATCAGACTTCCAGAATAACAGCCCGTTTATGCTCCCTCATCACACAATTGGCAACAACAGGCTTGACAAACAAGTAGAAAAACTAAAGCAACTGGTATTTTAACGGCAAAATCCAGATTCACAGAGAGGGCGCAGTGATTGGTGGTTAGAACAACAGCCTGCCTTCTAGGAGAAGCTGGAAGTGGAAGCACAGTAATTATGATACCCAAACCCCAACCTAACGCATTTTTCACAATCCTCTTTTGTAGGATCACAGCCCCTGCAGAGCACATTATGAGCAGCACTTTGTTGATTAAGATTGCATAACCCTGTTGTTTGCTCTGCCTGAATTCTATAGGAATATGAGTCATTCAGTGGGACCTTGGGCCCCATAGTGAGCACTGTCCTCCTTCCTAAGCAAGCTTCTTACAAGAATGTAAAAGGACACACATACACACTATATTGACAGTAAATGACTATTACACGTTCGAGGCCTTTCAGAAAAACTCGCTGCCCTCTTGGGAAAAGGAAGTACAACATCCAGTCCTCACACGCTGCTGACAAATGCTCTGCGAGACAGGCCAGCATGCTGGCAGTGACCTGGCCTGCCGCTAATAGGTCTTGACAGAGGCATGGATGGCATGACAGGCCATCAGAAATCATGGACATACACACCAGGCGAGTGGACAGAAGGAAGAGGAGGTGGTGATGACATACTGGGTATCACTTAATCTCAACAATAGACAAATGTGTGTGACCTGCAGGCCACAGAGGTAACAAGGGTCAAAATCAGCTCTGCTGGTGTAGATACTTATGAGCTGAGACAGAAAACTAAACTGTATTTGACTGTTTTTGCCCCAAGAACCACACAGATTGGGCTTACTGAAAAAAAGTTTCAGTATTACAGTATTTGAAAGCCATTTTCATACCTTACATAATTGGATTTTTTCTGTTAGGTGAACCAAACCCTGGTGATATTCCAGTGAAACTGGAAAACAAAAACATTTATGCAGATAGTTTTTGGCCTTGGTCTGTTTTTCCAGAGGTGAATACAAATGTGAAGGTAGATGAGCTCTTGCAGCTCTAGGTAAGGTATAACTACAATGAGGGGGGGTGGAAAGGTTAGCAAAAAGTTGAGAGAGCAAAACAACCTTCCTGCAAGAAATAAAAAGGTCTTTGCTATTATGAAAATGTTTCAAAAGTGTCCTCTATCTCCTCATTCAACTAGAACTCTATGAAAACTTCAGATTCTCCGCAACTGACATTTGCGATTTGCAATCTGGGTCACACACTTAATAAAATTCACTGTATTTGCACAAAATTCCATGTGTGTGTAGGACTGCATGCGTGTTTGTTTCTGCAGTGTAAGCACATGCTGTCCTCCATCTGCTCTTTGATAGAGACTATTTCCTTTCCTGTGCAGTCAGCCAACCAGCCAGCCTTCCTGTACCACTCTGCTCCAGAAGGGAAATGGGAGCAAGACTGCCACACACTTCTGACAAAAATGCTGGATAAGATACGTACACATGCAGACACAGCTGGACAGACAATGTTTTAGACACACATTTCAACACAAATACAGTCTCCTCTCATTTCTCTTTCCTTCTGCCTTAGACTTCGGGCTTTGTTTCCATTCCTCCATCTACTGTATGTTCCCTTTGTCCTTATTTTTTCAAACACCTCCACAAGTCATTAAACAGCTTGGTGGGGGCTAAAATATTTGAATTGCACAACAATGAAGGGGATTGTTAAACACAGGAAAAGTCAAAAGCACGTGTGTTGGCGGGCTTTCACAGTTTAAATCATTGCTCATTGCTTAACTCATTGCTTTATGTCTGCATTCACTTCCATCTCGGTCTGCTTTCTTTTCCCCACCATGCCTACAGTGATACCTGTAAGTCAGCTGTAATTATACTGGCCACTTAAATGTCACAATGTGCTTTTAGGAGAAAAAAACCTTTGAAATCAGGGGCTATGATGTCAACAATAGCGAGGGCACTTAAGTCTCAAGTTGAGGCTCAAAGTGTGTGTCGAATAGACCACGATATTAAATTCAACCAACTTAATTAGGTTCCACAGATGTGTTTCACACAGTATAAATACAAACCATTTCATATTCCCAACAATATTGCTGATTTGAATAAGCTGCAGCATGCACGTCAAGTTAATGGTGTTTTTACTACTGTACACTCTACTGTACTCTGCAGTCCTCTATTCTCACTACTGTTTCACACTACTGTCTCACTTCCTGTTTCTTGATCCTTTTAAGCAGCTGACAAAGACAACAAGCTGTAGCCATGAATCTCCAGATTGAGGAAGTGACTGACTCGCCACAAATATGCCGGGAACTTGTGATAAAAAGTCTTTGAATATACAAAGAAAAACAGCCAAGTGCAAATCGAAGGGAGTTGTGTGTCCAAGTGAAATCCTCTAATACTAAAAAGCTAATATCAGCAGCTATTAATGATTAAATACATTGACGCAATGTTATGAATGCAGGCCACAGTGTGCTAAATTACCTGGATGCCTGTTGATTCAATGTATGCTGATTCTTAAATCCATAATAGCAGGTCACATGGTTCTGAGTTCAGCTGTCACATTGTTGCCCGCGTCTTCAGTAAGAAATTGGACAGAAGCTGGAGGTGAGCCTGGTAAGGAGAGACGATCCCTGGATCCAGGCAGGCAAGTTGTGGGTCTGAGCACTTCAATGCCAAGCATTCACCGAACAGCAGCCAGCCTGAATTTTTGTACGGGAAGCAGATCAGTGGGACAGAGAGCATGTTAGACAATTAACAACACTGCAAAGACAGACAGACACATGAGATAGAGAAGCTACAGGATGAAGAAGGTGTCTTGCAGTTCCTGTCTTGAGCAGAAACGGTATGTAGCAAGAAGAGAGTGCAGTTAAGAACAGAGGACAGCTTCTCCAAAGGAGGATGCTGTGATGTAACAAGCAGACCCTAGAGCATTGTGAAACAGCATTTACCCTCTCTGAGTTACCATTCACACATAATGATGCCATTTATCTTTGAGGGAAATTCAGAAGAAAGATGAAGATATTCCTCATCAACAAAGGAACGGTGAAGATGGCACAAAGTCTAAGAAGGCGCCCAAGGGTGAAATGCAGATGGTCACAAAATGTAACCATGGTGAAGAAACGACTTATAAATTAGTCGGGAGTTAAATAAGTTAATTTTGCGGGGAAACAATTAGTCTTCCAAATACAGCAGCCAGCTCCTAGTCCGCATTACTTTCCAAACACGCTAACCTCATTTAAAAGCTAAAAACAATCTCCTGCAAAAACATGCATATCAGCCCAGATTTGGAGCTGAGTTTTACATAAAACCCTGTTTTGTCTCGCTACCAACATATTTATTTTCATCCCAGAGAGAGTTACATATGTCACTAAATGCTTTAAAAAATCTATTTCAGTCTATCTGTATGAGAAAATACTGGTACATACTGTGCATAAGCTGTAGTAGAGGTCGCAGTTTGGTGCCAACTAATATATAATCCCTGCTATTACCCAGGGGAGGCCTGAAAGGAGGGTATGGGTGGGAGGAGGGGAGTGTGAGAAAAAAGGAGACAAGGAGCACAATTTATCTACCTGGGAGCGCTGAGGAGCCAAAGAATCGGGAGGCAGCATTTTAGTGTGGAAACCTCCTAAGTACAGTACCAAAGCTTCAAATAATGAGGTAAAAGAATTTAAAATAAATCCCTGTGAGCCAAAACCTAGGATATCCCCTGTTGTGAATGCTCTGTTTTGAACTGCTTTTTCTACCAATGGCTCGGTATGATGTCATTCCGAGCCGGATTTCCATATATGGTCATTTTTTCCTAGCAGAGAATGCTGGCCATGCACATATATTGTACACCACACTGGCCATTCCTATAAAAGGAACATGCAGCCCCATCCCTAAGCAACCTGGTAAGCACATAAGACAATGGCCAATCAGAAGTGGGCTTTGGCAGGGGGGTCTTAAAGAGACAGGAGCATCTACAGCTTGTTTCAGACAGATGCTGAAATGAAGGCCTGCATGTAATGCCAGTATTATTGAATTCTTTTTTTTAAACTTTGAATCACGTGGAACTACCATAGAGGAGTCACAGAACTACAATATAGGACTGGAATGCAGTATAATAGGTCTCCTTTAAGTATTCTAGGTGAAAACCTAAATGGGCCAATTACATTCTTGAAAATAAGAAACTCTAAACTACATGCTCACATGTCTTTTCTCTACTCCTGCAACTTTAACATCTTGGAGATACAAGGTTTTACACCTGCCAGTTGTGGGAAGCATGCTGAGTGGTTACTATGGCGACACTCTCGTCTAGCCGAGCAGAGGGGAGGTGGGGGGATTTGCACGCTTGCTCTCTCTCCCCCTCTCTGTTTCTCTTTTTCTTGGCTGTAACGATAAATGAATGTCCACATCTCCTACAGCCCTCCCCCATCCAACCCTTTTTCCTATGGAGCTCAATGAAACAGGCAGTCAGCATTTGCTTTATGACATCCTGAAAATTGAGGTGTCATGCTTGAGGATTGCCATGACAGCCAAATAATGGGACGAGTGAAGAGTCCGTCCTCAGAAGGCAGGATAGAGTGCAATGGAGACTACATAAAAAAACGTCATTAATCCTGTGTATTATATAATTTTATATTCACACTTAAGTTCCTGGAAAGAACTGTGGTTGTATTTCAAATAACATATCATCTCAGGGTTTGTAAATAAATAAAACGAGATCTGACAGTGTGGAATCAGATCAAGCAAACTACTGAATAATGGAAGAACCTCCCTGTAATGCAATCGGATTCAGAGAATCATGCTCAACAACATCAGAGGAAAACGCAGCAACACATGAAAGCTGCTGGAGGCAGAATACATTTTGTTTGTATAAAATCTAGTTATTTCTGTTCTGTGTATGGAACAAGAAGTTGTAGTCCATCTAAAAAGGGTCACCGTTCGTGCCCTCTCAGCATTGCCTGGGCTGTGCTGCTGCAGCGAGAATCCCACCCAGCCAACGAGAACTGGACACTTGAAAAAGGTAAGAAAACATTTAGCTGAGAGTGAGAAAAACAATTATAACGCGTTTTAACCAAGCGGCAACCTCCGGCTCTCACTTCCGATACAAATACGTAAGTATCTGAAACTGCAATTCATCGAGTGGCCACTTGAGGCTGGCTACAGAAGGGAGTCAATCTCCATTGACCCCCATGTTAAAATGCCCAACTTTACAGCAGAATAAAACATATTTACAGCCTGGTTCAAAAAAATTTTTTTAGGTTTTAGTGCATATCACTAATTTTGCCCTTTGTGACAACTGTTATAACTCTCCTGTTTAAATTATATTAAGCCTTAAATTTCTGCATTCTTAGGGGCGTGGCCGCTTTCATTGACAGGCGCCATTAGCCGCTGCCACTGCTAGCACTCGGTCCGCCGTCTGTAAGCCTCACTCAGCTACACAGAACTCTGAGGCTCAGCCTGTCAGAGCCTTTTGGACATTTCTACATGCAGATACCTTGATGATACAAATATGGACAATATTTAAAAGTCAAAGTAAACAGAAGGAGAGAACGCCTTTCCACGTCTGTCCACCCCATCAGCACAATGAGGACTCCAGCTCTCTGCAGCTCTCTGGAACCAGGTGGAACATCTGATCCACAGTGTAACTCTGGGTGGAAAATGTGTAATAAATTCTTCAGGTGATAAAAAATATAAAGTACATACAGATGATTCTTTAATAAATAGAATATTGTGTTAAGTTAATTTTCTAACGTAATTTAATTCTAAAAGTGAATCTTTGATATATTCTAGATTCATTACACAAAGCAAAGCATTTCAAACCCTTTTTGCTTTCATCTTGATGATTACTGTTTACAGCTCATGGAAATAAAAACTCCAGTATCTCAAAATGTATAAACATTTTAGAATAGCCTAAATACATTTCTGTATTATAAATTATACAGAAATAACTGGAGAAGAGCTCTCTAATCAGCTAATTAACTCAAAACACCTGCAAAGGTTTCTGAAGCCTGTAATCTCTGTCTGGTTCTGATGCTCACAATGAACTTTTCATCAGTATTCAAATTTTTTGAGATGGTCATCTAAAAGATGCCTCAGTGTTTTAATGTTGAAAGCACTATTATGTCACATACGTGGGAGAAAATGGAACATGGGAGACTCTTTAAATGTTTTTGTGTTGTCCTTTTAAGACAGACAATTTTATATCAGCTGTCAAATGTCCAATAAACAAGACTAGCAACGTTATTTTAGACTCAAAGTTAAACTTTTAGTAGCAGGCGTGGAGGCATCAGAACCTCAACAAGAATCGTGTGACAATTAAAAAAAGGTACCTTTCTCTCTCGCTACGTCCATTTTTATATACAGTCTATGGTTTTAACCTGCTTTACCTTTTACCTGACATTCCCCAGGTTGTGCCCTAAAGGTGAACTGTGTCATTCAAACAACAACACCCAACTCAACGCACTCTTACATACTTTCTTATCTTTATTAAAAACAACTAAAGTTCCTTATCTTTTCTAAGATACAATAATACAGTAATCATCATGTTCATTTCAGAGTTTATTTGAGAGAAAGAAGGAGCGCTGTCACTGTGACAACATGGAGTGAACAAGGCTGCCCTTGGTGACTATCTATAGCCATCAGTTCCTCACAGTCATACACAGATTACCACAGTGCATGTGGGTGTTACTCACATGATTCATATTTCATTTGGATTGCAAGGGTGAAAAAAGAGGGAAACTAGAGGAAGATTTTAGAAAGATACTAGAGTTGCTGTTATTTTTTTAAGATACATGAAGTCCATAATAGCTACTAATATCTGGAGTGCAAAAACACTCATGCATTCAAATTAGCATGAATGACGTGAGGTGAAAATTTGTCACATTAAAAATTCACAGCAAGAAGCATAACACATACAGGCAACACGCAGAAATGACAAATGATCTCTGGCACTGTATCGAAGCTGTGCTCTCTGGCTGGCCAGATGCTAGGTCTAAGTAATGTTGTATTTTCTTTATATAACCTTTCTGTGCTTCATCTGAGGGTGCAATGGATTGTCCAACATGTGGACTTCTGCTGGTGTAAGATTTACATCTGCAGACTCGAAAACACAGTTTCACCAAAACTCTCACACAGCTGTTATTTCCCCCGACAAGGCCCTAAGCTCAGCTGAAAATACATAGAACCAAGGTGACAAATACCAGCTCAAAGACTGATGGACACCTATGTGTATACACACACTTGGCTCTTTGAATCATCAACCTCTCCAGGGTTGTGGTCAATCTGATTAGAGCATCATACAGAGATCTCCATGTGCACCAACACAAATCCATTTATAGAGATAAGCTTTGAGGGCAACTCACTGCCACACTCACACAAACACACACACTTCCTGAGAATAAGAGAGAGATGTCTCTTCACCCTCTGAAGGAGCCATTTGACTTGCTATCGTGCCCCAGCATCAGTCCAGCACAACACTGTGTTTACAGAAGTCCTCTCTAACCTGCCGCTGTGTATCATTTCCAAAAACATAATGGAGTTGTGAGATGATTAGGATAGGAAAGTAGACAAAATATATTTGTCCAACCCAAAAAAATTGTTTTTTGTCAGACTTTACACTACATAACTAACAATTATTCAAATAAATGAGAGAGAAAGAACATTTAAAATCTGTGTTGAGGGCCTACAATTAAACACTGCTCTGTTTTAAGGGAAC